TTCATTTAAAGTTTCTATCTTGGGAACATGATTTTATTACTCTACTTGGGGTTGGTTTAGATTCTTCCTTTTTTAAACGGATAGTATTAGAGAATGGCAACAGTCGAAGAGGATTTCAATCAAAGACTTGGCGACTTGTCTTTGTTGTGGTATTAAGCCAAAAAAACTTGGTTCTTTTTGTTGTGCAAAATTTGTTTGTTAGGCTGTTTTTGTTTTTCATGTTTGAGGCGGAAGCAGATTTAGAGATTTGTTGTAATGCCACACCCAAATTCTTTTGAGTAACTTCTTGTTTCTTTCTTATTAATTCATTTTATACTTTTTAATTGAATGTTACTTGTCTTTTTGCAAATTTGTTTTCACTTATTTTGGGCCTCTGTTATTGATGACCAGAATACCGTTTGACACTCTCTTGTATATGATTGAAGGCCCAAGTTCACTAAACTATCCCAATTTGATCCAGCACAAAGGACAACAGGTACAAATAAATTAATATAAAAAATATTGAAAACAACCTGCTAACAAATTACATAAACACATATGTAAATGATACGTAAATATTAATTTCATAAACCTGGACTAGTTAGATCTACTCTGACATAAAAAATATCTAACAAAAAAGGAATCTTTGGGAGAAAAAAATGACCTAAGGACAAAAAGGAAGAAGATAAAAAATATATTGTAGGGATAGAGAGAGACACACACACTTGGATTATTCCGGTTATATTGAATAAGGGTTGGTTTACCACTTTACCGGACCTGAAACTGAAATGTACTGCCTATATATATATATATTATTTTTTGGTCACAATTGTACTGCCTATATTTATGAATTATTGTAATGAACAATGAGATCTAGAGCATAAAGTAACGTCACATCGCATCATTAAAAGCATTAGAACGTTACTTTTTCTCGATTTTCTCAACTCTCATTGAACTTTTTTAGTTCTTTATTACAAGCAGACCGTTGAGATTTGTCTAGAATTAAGACTCCAATCAACAGTGTCTTGTAGTATTAGTTTACGTAACATTTTTTTCTCACCACATTAATCTCTTTGAGACATTTTTAATACTTTTTCTAGGAGTCAACATTAATACTACATTCTTTAATGAACAATAAGAGTTCATCGAAAATTTGTTGAGAATTTGTTGTTTATCAACCAATAAGAGTTGAATTAAAACCCTTTGATGATAGTTCCTCATTTACCCATCTACTTAATTACCTAATACTCATTAGGCGCCCCAAAATTTAAAAGATCAGTTGGGGTGAATAGAAAAACTACATGATTAAAAGAAGAGAAAAACAGAATGAGTGAATGTTAGAATTTCAAGAATTGGCAAGAAACAGTCTTTGACTCTTTTCATTAATACGAAAACAAGAAGAGTAAGTTAAATACATACACTATAATCATGTAAATACAAATAGTAATGTATACGAATTTATTAGTAATACACTGTATCAAAAAAACTAATTCATATATTGTATTTGTACTAGTAGTATCTTTTACCTTTAATACTCAAAAACCACAGGCTTTTTTAATGGAAAACACGTAAAACACTAGCTATTAAATATCTACACTCTTCTCTCGTCTTCCCCAAAAAAAAACAACTCATTTCCTCTCTATTTGACTCAAAGACGAAGAAGAGTAATCAATTATCAATCATGAGTGTTCTACATCTCCTCCTCACTCTCTCGCTACTCATCTCTGTTTCAGGTATAATCTCTCTCTCTACTACACAACCACAACCATTAATGGCGGTTTACCATCTTCTTGCAAAAATGTTAATCCTTTCTTTTCCACAGGAGCAAAATTCTCCGGCCGACCAGGAATCAACTACGGCCAGCTCGGGAACAACCTCCCGTCACCGTCAGACTCAGTCAACCTCATCAAATCACTAAACGCGAAACGCGTCAAGCTCTACGACGCAAACYCAAAAATCCTCGCCGCTTTAAACGCCACCGACATTGCCGTCTCCGTCATGGTCCCTAACGAGCTCATCATCAACATCTCGAAATCGGAATCACTCTCCGACGACTGGATCCGATCAAACATCCTCCCGTTTTACCCATCCACCAAGATCCGTTACCTCCTCGTCGGCAACGAGATCCTCTCTTCCACAGATTCCGACCTCAAATCAGCTCTCGTTCCGGCAATGCGCAAGATCCAACGGTCGTTAAAGTCCCTCGGCGTCAAAAAAGTCAAAGTCGGGACCACACTCGCCGTCGACGTACTCCAATCGTCGTTTCCTCCGTCGAGCGGCGAGTTCCGGTCTGATATTTCCGGTTCGGTTATGAAACCGATGCTACAGTTCTTAAACCGGACTAAATCGTTTTTATTCGTTGACGTTTACCCGTATTTCGCTTGGGCACAAGATCCGACCCATGTGGATCTCGATTACGCCATTTTCGAATCTAACAACGTCACCGTAACGGATCCGGTCACGAATCTGACCTACCACAACCTCTTCGACCAAATGATCGACGCTTTCGTCTTCGCTATGAAACGAATCGGGTATCCGGATCTTCGGATCTGGGTCGCGGAAACGGGTTGGCCCAATAATGGAGATTACGACCAGATCGGAGCGAATATCTACAACGCCGCAACTTACAATCGCAACGTCGTCAAGAAACTCGCCGCCGACCCACCCCTGGGTACTCCGGCACGACCCGGAAAAGTCCTTCCAGCGTTTATTTTCGCGCTTTACAACGAGAATCAGAAAACGGGTCCGGGTACGGAGCGGCATTTCGGGCTTTTGCATCCGAACGGATCTCAGGTCTACGAGATCGAGTTATCCGGGAAGACGACGGAGTACAAGGAATCGTTGCCGGCGCCGCTGAATAACGAGTTGTACAAAGGGAAGATATGGTGCGTGGTGGCTAAAGGAGCGAATTGGACTCAGCTTGGTGATGCTCTATCGTACGCTTGCTCACAGGGGAATAATACTTGTGACCCGATTCAATCCGGAGGCCCATGTCATAAACCGGATTTAACCGTTTTGCACGCTAGCTATGCTTTTAGCTCTTATTGGGCCCAATTTCGTAAATCCGGTGGGACTTGTTCCTTCAATGGCCTCGCTACTCAAACCATTAAAGATCCAAGTAAGTGTAGTTTCCAAAATCTTAATTCAACCGATTCGTGTAATTCCGGTTTAGTTTATTAACCGGAGGTTTGGTTTTGTGGTTTGACCAGGTTATGGACGCTGCGAGTTTCCGAGTGTGACATTGTGATGACTTGCGAGTTACGACAATGTTGAGAAGAAGAGATGCACGAGGAAAAGACCCCCGGCTTTTGATTACTAGACAGGGCACGTGAAACTGCACGATTTTACGGCTTGATTAGTAAAAACGGCACGTGATTATGGTTCTGTGCTGTTTATTTAATTTGTTTTTCCCGCGAATAACTAAAGCTCATGAGTAATAAATTAGTTTTGTTGGGTAACGTAATGGGTTTCATTATCTCTAATTAATCTTTCTTCTCTTTTTGCATTTTTTTATTTTTTCTAATGTGTAGAAACTTGAGGAGAACTCCACATCGAGGGTGCTCTTAGCTTTGTCCTTTTCCTAATTTTTTTTTATCTAGTACTTTTCCTCCGTATCATAATAACTAATGATTAAAATTTGTTTATATCAAATTAGTTAATTTTTTCATATTTTTAGGTAAAATTGCAATGTTTTTTTGCTCGTGAAAAAATACATAAAAATACATCATTTATTGGGGTTCTTAATATGTGTGCAACATCCTTAAAAATCATCTAAAATGATACAGAAGAGTTATAAAACTTTATGCATTAAATTTCGTAATTTACATCATGAGGACACGTCTTAATAAACTATAACTATAAGATTTTGGCACGTGTTAAAAAAATTCTAATGAAATTTTGCCACATGTCAAACAATTTTTTTTTGAGAAATTTCAAAAATGCCATTTTTCAAGTGCCACTTTACAAAAATGCTACACTTTTGAAATCTTTACAAAAATGCCACACTTTTGAAATCTTTACAAAAATGCCACACTTTTGAAATCTTTACAAAAATGCCACTTTTTCAAAATTATTTTTTCTTTATATTATTTATCTTTGGGTTAATTATGTTCTATTAAAGTTTAGTTATGAGGGTTTAGGGGTCAAAACATTTTTTAGTGTTTAAAATTTTAAGATATAAGGTTTAAAAATCTATAATTAGTACCATTTTTGCAAATGAACACCCCTAAGTGACATTTTTGCAAATGTGCACATAAAAAGTGGCATTTTTGCAATTTCTCCATTTTTTTTAAGATAAAAGCTTATATATTTGTATTTATCAATTACATATTTTATTTTAAATAG